TATGCAGAGAGATAGAAACTCTAAGAAAGGATCCAAAGAAACTGCTAGAAATCAAAAACACTATAGCAGCAATGAAGAATGTCTGTGATGGGCACATTAGAAAAAAATGAGTAGGAAAGAAACAGAACAGAACCCTCAAGAACTGTGGAACAATTTCAAAAGATATACATGTAATGGTAATACCAGAAGGAGAAGAAAAACAGAGAATAGGTGAAGTACTAATGGCCAAGAATTTTTCAAAATTAAATACATAATGGAATATTATGGAAAATAATTAAGAAAGGTGACTCAGGTTTCTATATTTGCATGAAAAGCTATAGTTTTTCACAAAAAGCTACATTATTGACTATACACAGTTTATAAAATGGTATGTAAATACACAAGTATACACATATAAAATGATTTCTGAAAGAGTCTTTACTAAAATATAATGGTCAGATTTATTGTAATTTCATTTTCACTTATGTTGTAATTGATTTTTAGAGATAGAGGAGGGAAAGAAAATAATTAAGAAAGGTGACTCGGGTTTCTATTTTTGCATGAAAAGCTATAGTTTTGCACAAAAAGCTACATTATTGACTATAGGCAGCTTATAAAATGGTATGTGTATACACATGTATACACATATAAAATGATTCCTGAAAGAGTCTTTATTAAAATATAATGGTTAGATTTATTGTGATTTCATTTTCACTTATGTTGTAATTGATTTTTAGAGATAGAGGAAGGAAGAGAGAGAGAAATATCAATGTAAGAGAGAAATATCAATTGGTTGCCTCCTCTATGCACCCCAACTGAGGATCTAACCTGTAACCTACATATGTGCCTTGACTGAGAATTGAACCCACGACCTTCTGGTGTACAGGATGATACTTCAACCAACCAAGCCACCTGGCCAGGACAGGCTTTGCTTTTTTAAAGTTGAGGTCCACCAGAGGATGTGGCATTCATTCTTTAGCTCATTTTTCTTTTTAAAACGGTGATTATGTTGAAAAGGTCTGGGCAGGAATACTAAGCATTTGTTGTTTGGGTTAGTTGGTTTGACCTTGGAAATCTTTCTAGAGGCATCATGGGAAAATTAGGGAAGGAAACTTAATGGGGCACCGATACTGAATGCACAGGTGGAGGCCCTGAAATACCTGTGTCTTACACCTTCACTTTTCCATGTGGTTGCACACGAGTATGTGTGGTGGCTGATGAGGCCCAGCAGAGTGCAAATGGTGGGAGGGGTGCCAGTTGTTCCTGATGTGGGCCACTGGGGTGTTCCTAGGAGGAAGGCTTCAGGATGCGGGGCCTGGTGGCCGGGTTTTGCTTTTTTAAAATTGAGGTCCACCAAAGGATGTGGCATTCATTCTTTAGCTCATTTTTCTTTTTAAAACGGTGATTATGTTGAAAAGGTCTGGGCAGGAATACTAAGCATTTGTTGTTTGGGTTAGTTGGTTTGACCTTGGAAATCTTTCTAGAGGCATCATGGGAAAATTAGGGAAGGAAACTTAATGGGGCAATGATACTGAATGCACAGGTGGGGGCCCTGAAATACCTGTGTCTTACATCTTCATTTTTCCATGTGGTTGCACACAAGTATGTGTGGTGGTGATGAGGCCCAGCAGAGTGCAAATGGTGGGAGGGGTGCCCGTTGTTCCTGATGTGGGCCACTGGGGTGTTCCTAGGAGGAAGGCTTCAGGATGCGGGGCCTGGTGGCCGATGGCACCATGGGGGCTGTGGGGAGCCTGGACAAGCAGAACAGCAGTCGTTCTGGTTTGAAATGGGTGGGTGTGTCCTCAGGAAGAGTTAGATTCCATTAAGGAAGTTGATGTGTCTGAAATTCTTGTGATGAGACGTCTTATTGTCTTGTTGACCTTGGTTTACTCTCGTTTGGTTGTATAGGTGGCTTTCTTAGTGGCCTGAGAGGGACTAGTTTTCTGTTACCCTTTCTCCATGGGGTTTGGTTCCTAACACATGCATTTGAGCATACTCTTATTATCGGAGAAATTGGGGTGACCCCTTTCCCACTGGGTGTTGGGGTGGGGTCCTTATGATATCTCCAAAACAAGAATTTTCTGAGACTTGCACGGGAGGGTGAGTGATTTTTATTTGCATGGAATTACATCCCTGACTTTCCAAAGTCCCATTCCAGTCACAGAAGAAGTGTAGCTGGGGTTTCAGTAAAGCTAAAAGCAAAGCCAGTGTCCACAGCTTCTGTTCCATGTTGCAGCCAGGCCCAGTTCAGCATCAGGCTGGTTACAGTACACTAGCCCATTGAGTATGGGGTCCGCATGGCCCTGGGGAGTGTCAAGCTCTGGCTTCCTGGTGAAGCTGTCCAAATGGCATGCCTATGATATTGGCCTTCCCTTCGTTCCTATCCTGTTATTAATAACTAGGTTGATTACAATGATACAACCCTCACCGTTTAATAATGCCTTCTACAAGGCCAAGACCTGTCCCCTCCCTTTAAAAGTCTGTCTGCCCTTGACGATTATTCTTGGGTGAAGCTCTGTGGTTCAGATATATCTCCCCAAATGGAACCCAATTTCTTTAAACCTGTCAGGAACTTCCATGAACTTGTAATGTTTATTTAAAAATATTTGCCACTGTTATTTCACGTCGAACTCTAGAAGTTTCACTATCGATGTGTTTAACTTCTCCAGAAAAACTCATGAACATTTTCCTTTCGGAAATTACATCTAAATCCTGGTAACTATTAAAAGGAAGACCTGGTTTATTTCAATGTCGAGTTTTACATTTTTTTCTTAAACAGCCAAAACCCATCTTTCAACTTCTTAAGTTGAGGACATTGTCAGGTACAAGGAGATAAAAATATATAAGCTTACCTAATGTGTTTTTCACCAGTGCTTACCACATAACTAAAATGAAGTAATTTGAAAAAATGCATTTACCACAAACAATACACATTTTACAAGAATACATACCAACAAAAAGATATATATTAAACACATCAAATACCTGCCTATGGAGATTGGGGAAAGGGGAGGCAAGAGTGACAAATGGGAATTTAAGAAATTAAAATGTAAAAATAAATCACCCTAACATCTCAGCCCTTGGCTTCTTCTTGCCTCATACAGACACCTATGGGGATGCCCCACTGTCCAGGCAGGGCCTTCCCTAGCCCATTGGTGCCCCTCTCCTTCCTCTTGGCGTGTCCCCTGCCCCATTAATCACTGCCCTCTTCCTCTACAGCCTCCCCATACCAAGACCTATTTCCTTATCCATTCACTTCATGAATATTCTCCTTAACTCAAACCCCTCGTTCTCATTCTCTGACCCTAATCCCACACACATTACCACCCTCCCAAGCGAGAAGCACACCCCATCAGACCCTGACGAAACACAAAACTAAGAAAACTAGTCCAGAACTCCTTCCCTTTGCCTGCCTGCCTTCTCTCTCTCCTCTCTCCCTCCTTTCTTTCCCCCACTCCCTTTATCCTTCTCTGTCCCTAAGGCACTGCTGCTGGGCTGGTCAGTAACCACCCCAGGACGCCTCTCCCGGGCTCCTCCCCCGCCCTCCTGAGCTCAAAGTCCAGCGGGTGGGTGAGCAGGTGAAACCCTTCCTCCGACCGGCTGCGTGGGAATTGGCTTCCTGGGCAGGAGAGATGACTCCAGCCTGGAGACATTTGCCAAGAGCTTTGCGCCTGGAGACTTCCTCACCCCGGACCCCCAAGACATGCCCTTCCCTGAGCCGTGAGTGGAACCCAGGGGGACGTGGGGCAGCAGAGGGTCAGGGAGAGGGAAGGACGGAGCTCTGGAGCCTGTGGCTGGGATTCGGAAACGTTAGACCTGGATGGGATCTTAGAGACGGGGCAGCAACACAGCGGTTCTCGCCCTGTTGGGTCCAAAGCCCCTCCCTTGTCCAGTATTTTCCAATGACATTGATGGATACCAAAACCTGGCTATCCACACTTTCAAAATAAAAACATGCCACCGTAGCTGTAGTGTAAAAGGGAAAGGAATGCAACATACAGCATTAACAGCAATGTATAGATGCTCAAAGACAACCCCTTTAAAAGACATAGGGCATCCTCACAACTTTCCACCATCCCCTCGATTACCAGCACAGACACTGAGACTCAGAAAAGGGCAGTCATTAGCCCAGGGACACCCCAAAATCTAGGACTCAACCCTGAATGCATATTCTCCTTAACTCTCTCTCTTATTCACACCTCTCCTGTTCAGACCCTTCTCTTTCCAGCAGGAACAGAAAATGGGAGGGGACCTGGGGTAGCCAGCCATGTGGCTTCCTGTATTTTGTCCCCTGTGCCTGTGATTTTCACATCTCTCGCTCCACTAGAACATCACCACGCCCCCAACAATCTCCCTCATGCAAACATGAGCGTCAGTAGCTATCCGCACGTTATGTGCCAAAGTGGGACCCGGGCCTCGCGAGCTCTAATCAGGCATAGAAAACCCTTTTCCATTCCCCATTACGATCAATTTTATCTTCATTTTCTCCTCATCTTTCCTGGTTCTCTATCCTTTCTTCCTCCCCTATTTGCTTCTCATTCCACCCCCAAAACTTAATATGCCTAATGTTTTATATTATTATCTCCTTTCATCTTCAACCAGACTTGTAGGTGATACCAGTATCCAATTTCACTGATGAGGAGACAGGAGGATAAAGAATGATTAAGAGTGATTCCACCAGGCCCTTCTCACGCACCCTTCTTCCCATCCTGTTTGGATTTCTCTTTTCCCTTAGCCATCGGTCTTTTGCCAAAACATCAATTAACCCCAAAGTTTTCTAAGAAAGAGTTAGGATGTTAAAACCCAGAGTTTTATGCTTGATAAGGAGGACACGCTGCTGAAAATACCAGTTGTTGACAAAGCAAGAGGAAATGTCCTCTCTGTGGCCCCCTCCTCTTCCCTCCCCTGGCCCCTGCTGGCTGCAGAGCTGGGCTGATGGTGGCAGCAGGTGTCTTAGAAATGGCAGGTGAGGCCTGTTGCCCGGAGGTCCTGATCAGCTCATTGGAACTCCTTAACGGAGCTCCACTACAGAGCAGGCACCTTGCAAACCCACACCATGTCGACATGACTATCGGACTTTTTACCTGGCCTTTTACAATCCTTCAGAGTTTGGGCCTGGCCAGGTGGCTCAGTTGGTTAGAGTGTTTTCCCAATATACCAAGGTTTCGGGTTTGATGCCCGGTCAAGACATATACAAGAATAAACCAAATAAACCAATGAATGCATAAGTAGAACAAGTCTCTCTCTCTCTCTCTCTCTCTCTCTCTCTCTCTCTCTCTCTCTCTCTCTCTCTCTCCCCTCTCTCTCCCCTCTCTCTGTTCTTTCCTCGCTCTCTAAAATTTAAAAAATCACTAAATGAAATCATTTGAAGTTTGATTTCCACTTTCTTACCTACTGTATCTAGATGTATTCCTGCTTGTGTGCCGGGGTCCAACCCCAGCAGGTCCAGGGGTTCCCAAAGGTGTAGACAAAGTCGGCGAAGAAGGAATGACACGGAGACAGCATTCAGTTGATCAGCAGCCTTGCCAGGATCTCTAGACACAATCTCCAGCCAAGTTCTGTGTCCATGTTCTCTTGCTAGGTTCTCCAGCCAGGATCAGTAGCCGTGTCTAGGTTCTGTGTCTAGGTTCTGTCTTTTGTTGTCTTGTTGCATCTGTATTTATACCAGTTGATTCCAATCCTATCAATCTCTAGTCCAAAGGTTAGGGTGTTTCTTATCTCCATTCCAGGGAGTAAAGATTATGTAGCTTAAGCATGATTGTTTGTAGTTAAAGAGATTAATTACCGGCCTGGCACTTAGTGAAGCGGTTTTATTCCCTCCCTAACTTCAGGGGAAAATCTCTACCTGGGGAAACAACCTTTCTTGGAGAGGTGACCTTGGTTAAAACACATAGTGCCAAGAAGGTGAGCAAATATGTTAAGAACAGTATGCCATATGTGCCAGGTCCCTTGGAACAGCAAGGATGGACCGGCTCCCGGCACTTGTGTTAGTTCATCCAACACACTGTGTGCAAAATACATACCCACTTGATGTATCTAGACTTGAGATGTTATCTAGACTTATTTCACTTATTGACTAATCATTTTTCCTACTTTCTTGCTATCTGTCTTCCTTCCTTTTATCCTTCCTTTCTAAGAACAGGATTTTATATATTGCATTTGGAGCCCTCATCCCACCATTGTATTCCTATCAGTTGAGTGAATGAATGAATGAATGAATGAATCTGCTTTGACTGTTGAAAACTCAGGCTTTCCTTTATCAAATC